ACACCTTGGTATGTATAATGCTCAAAATGTTAGAAAAGACTTTCGAGTTAGAATTCCATGTTCAGCAGAGCTATCACAACAAATAAAGCAAAATAAAAGTATTTCAAGACTTAAATGACTAGGAGTTTTCTACAGACTCTCAGTAAAGAATTAATACACCATAGGGTATATTTGAGAAAGAAGAGCCCAAAGGAAGAAATATATGCTAGTGATCACACAAATTAATAAAACTATATTATCAAATATAGCTAATTAATAGATTATAAATAAAATAAAGTAGCAGACATAGATGAACCTTGAAAAACATCATACTAGCTCAGTGGTAAAGAGGTTGCACGGCATGCTAGAGGCCCTGGGTTCTATTGCTCACACCATAAAAAGAAAACTTCATGTTAAGTGAAGGAAACCAGTAATAAAAGCACATATTACATAATTCTATTTATATAAAAAATTCAGAATAGACGATTTCAAGAGATAGAAAGTAGTTTAGAAGTTGCACAGGATTGAGGGAACAGAGGGGGGAGTGGGAAAAAGGCCAGGCACTATCAACAGGTACAGGATTGCTTTTAAAGGCAACAAAAGTGTTGTAAAATTAGATGGTGATAGTAGTTGTACAACCCTATGAACACCCCTGTATCACAATGACTTGTACCTTTAAATGAATGAATTGTATGATATGTGAATCTTATCTTTTTTTTTCCTTATACTGGGGATAGCACCCAGTGGTTCTACCACTGAGCTATACCTCCAGCCCTTGTTTTTAATTGTGTTTTAGTTGTTGATGGACCTTTATTATTATTTTATTTATTTTTATGTTGTGCTGAGGATCAAACCCAGTGCCCCACACATGCTAGGCAAGCGCTCTACCACTGAGCTACAACCCCAGCCCACCTCCAGTCCTTTTTATGTTTTATTTTAATGTAGTGTCTCACTAAGTTGCTGAGGCTAACTTTGAACTTGTGATCTCTTTGCCTCAACCTCCCAAGTTGTTAGGATTACAGGTGTGCCCCAGCGTGCTCAGCAGAGAATGTATATTAACAAAGCTGTTTTAAGTGGAACTGGAAAGGAAAGGGAGATGTTCACATATACTAAGATCCTTTTAATCTTTGATAAGAAATTTTGTAGTTATTTATGATTGTTAAAAAATTAAGGATAACTATTTTAAGAAGAGAAATGTTTTCTATAGCTTTTAAAATCAGTAGAACAAAAAAGATTATATTGACAACTTTATCAATTCAAGTGACAAAATGATACAAAAGAAAGTAAAGAGAAAAGCTACAATAAAATGGCAAAAATGAGTTCAAACCTGTTTCCACATATACTCACATATATACCCTTCTTCCCTTCCCTACCCCAATCTACTAAAAGACAGTCTATCAGTCTAGGTTAAAAAAAAAAAATCCAACTACACACAGCTTAAGGGACATGTCATAGGCAAAATAATACAGAAATATTGAAAATAGATGGTGAAAAATAGATCAGACAAATGTTAAGTGAAGGGAAGCCAGTAAAGCAATATGAACAGATAGCATGGAACTTAAGATAAAAAACAGGAATGGAAGACACATTATATAGCAGTAACAATCAAGGTACTCTGAAAAGAAGACATAATAAACTTACACAACTAATGGTATGAGGCTCTCAAATGTACAAGATGCAAAAGCAGACATGATTAATAAAGAGAAACTGACAAGAACTACAGTTTCTGTTACCAGAAACTAATAGACCAAAAGGACAAAAATTTCCTAAGTATATAGCTACATGGAGCATGGTAATAACTTTGATCTTATTATACACATATATACACATAGATATGTATATACAGTCATGCATCACTTAATGACAGGGATACATTCTAAGAAATGCTTTGTTAGGCAATTTTGTCATTGTGTGAACATCATTTTAAATTTATATTTAGACATATTTAAATTTAGATGTTATAAACAATCACACACCTGGGCTAAATGGTATTGCATACTGCTCCTATGCTACAAATCTGTCTGACAGGTTACTGGACTGGATACTGCAGGCAATTGAAACAGTAAGTATTTATATATATAAACACATCTAAAGATAAAAAGATACAGTAAAAATATGGTATAAGAGTAATACATAGAAAAGAACAAACTATAAAAAGCTTTAAAAAAAGAGTAATACCTAGTACATCTATTTAGTGCATTTAGCATGAATGGAACCTTCAGGACTAGAAGTTGCTCTGAGTGAGTGAGTGAGTGGCTGGTGAATGTCAAGGCCTAGGACACTGCCACATGCCACTGCAGACATTCTAAACACGGTCTTACACTTTAAAATAAGACACTACACTTTTAAAAATACTTTTTTCTTGGGGCTGGGGATATAGCTCAGTTGCTAGAGTGTTTGCCTCACATGCACAAAGCCCTGGATTCATTCCACAGCACCACCAAAAAAAAAAAAAAAAAACAAAACTTTTTTCTTTATTCAATAATAAATTAACCTTAGCTTAGTGTAACTTTATTAACTCTAATTCTTTAAAACTTTTTGACTCCATTGTAATAACACCCAGCATAAAACACAAATTATATCGTAGTACAAAATATTTTTCTTCTTTATATCCTTATTCTAAAAACTTTTTTCTATTTTTAAATTTTATTTCTTTTACTTGTCAAAACTTTTTTCTTAAAAACAAAGGCATGAACACACATTGGTAGAGGCCTAGACAGTGTCAGGACCATCAGTATCATTGTCTTCCACCTCCACATCCTGCCCCACTGGCGGGTCTTCAGGGGCAGTCATTATATATGGAGCTGTCATGGCCTATGATAACAGTGCATTCTTCTGTAACACCTTCTGAAGGACCTGCCTAGGGCTCTTATTGATAAGGTGTACCTCTTTTCAGAAATATCTCCTTATTGGTTTGCTTGGTTCATTTCTAATGCCATACCTTTGCTTGTAAAGCAGATACTGTACTATAAACATTCCTCTCTGTTGATGAAAACCTTTTGGCATCCACATTTTTATCCTTTTTGACAAGCTTGTCAAGGCTGCAGAGGCTTCTGCTAAACCCTTCACTGTACATTTTCTTGGAGGCTCTTCTTTTTCTTTTACTTCAGTCTCCTTCTCTCTTTCCTCTTCTTCAGCTACATATTCCTATTTCAGTTCTAAATACTCCTCATCAGTCAATTCCTGAGAATCACCTCTAGGAGCTCCTCAACATCATCCTCATCCACTCCCATTTTAAAGTTTTTTGCCAATTCAACCACAGCCATGTTGCCTTTTGCAACCTCCTCTTCACTGGCAAATATTTGAAGTTATGGACAAACCTCTTGAGTGTCTTCATCCAGATGTCATTCATACACTCCTTGTTGGCATCACTTTAAACCCAAACAAGGTTCTTGATGTAGTCATAGATATTGTAATCAATTCTTCCAGTAGTGCATCGGTATTTTCTCAGTGTCTCTCACAGTTGCAGCAATAGCCTGCCAAAAGATCCTGCAAGGTAGCAGGGCTTAAAAGCTGCTATAACTCCTTGATCCACTAACTATATCAAAGAAATAGTGTTGAAGGGAGAAATATCACTTTGAGATTGGTATAAAGAGCACCAATAAAAGAAGATATGCAGAAGCTTTATCAACAATAAGCAAACTATGGAAATTTTTTTCCAAATAGTACTTCTCCATTGCACTGGCATAGCAATTCAGGAGGCACCTTGGAAGAGAGGCTGGGTCATGTGTGACTTCTTATTGCTCTATAGTACACTGGCAGTGGAATTCTCGCTGTGCCAGATCACGAACGGTTTTAATTTGTAGCCTGCACCATTGCCCCCAAGCAAAGACTGTTATACAGTCCTTAAAAGCCTTGAAAGCCAACACAGACATGGCATTCATGTTCAGAACAGGGAGTTTTCATCATATTTGAAGATTTGCTCTGGCAAGTAATTTTCCTCCACAATCAGCTTATGTGGAGTTTCCAAAAACCCCTTAGCTGCTTTCACATCAGCACTTACAGACTCACCACTCACTTTTCATATTACATAATGAATAACAATTCTTGAACTGTTTACACCATGCAAAGCTAGCAATAAATTCACCACTATTGTACAGGCCAGCCTTTTCTTTCAACATCACAAACACTTCCTTCTGGCCATGATCCTCAAGGTGCTGAGAAGGGTCCTCAGGGTCTGGTCTGTGACCCAGGTTATCAGAAGCTTCTCCCCATATCAGATACAGGCACTTCTTGAATTTTTGTTAACCTCGTTGCCTTCAACAAAGCAGACCCTGTAATAAGTTCCAGCACTTTGTTCTGGTGCCTCAAGATGGTAGCTATGGCAGAATGGGATATGCCTGGCTATCGAGGAATAGCCATCATTCACTTTCTACATCATAGTCTTTAATCACATTTAACTTCCTTTCCAGGTCAATCATGCAACATGACCTCTTCCTGGCAATATTAGCAGAAGATTTTGTATACTCAGGCTGTGATAATAAACAACTTGAGATCAAACCATGGAATCCAGAGGCATGTAAACACAGAGACTGCTGTCAGTATAACAGGCACACTGATTAATAGGAAACCTTTTTTATGAGCAGGAGTACACTCTAAAATAATGAAAAAAAAGTTTAGTATAGTAAAAACATAAATCAGTAACATATTTATTATTATCAAGTTTTATGATCTGTACATAATCATATTACTACCTTTATATATTAGGTTTGTTTATGCCAGCATCACCAGAAACAAGTGAGCAGTGTGTTTTACTACAACATTATGACAGCCACAATATCACCAGACAATAGGAACTTTTCAGCTCCTTTATAATCTTATCAGACTACCATTGTATATGCAGTCCATCATTAATCAAAAAGTTAGTATGTAGTTACGTATATTCATATTCATATACACATGTATGTATTTATATAAGGTGATATAAAACACTGTACTAAACAGAAAAAGAACATAAATTGATTTTAAGCACACATAAGGTATTTATAAAAATTTACTATATATTAGTCCTCAGAGGTGCATTAATTAATTTCTAGGAAAAAAAATATCATACCAAACATATTTTCATGCATATTATAAATAATTAGATATAAATTTTAAAAGTAAATAGAGTCCTTAATCACATGTTAAGAAAATAATGTGCTTAAAAATAACTCATAGGGAAGAATCAAACTATTATGAAATACTAGAACTGAACAGTGAAAGTACCACATATTAAACCTGGGGTAATACAAGGGTAAAACAACTTCAAGGTAAGGAGGGACAGACAAGAATAGAATGAAGATGTCCATTATTATCACTTTTAGTCAACATTGTTTTGGAGGTCCCAGACAGTATAATAAAGTAAGAAAAAATATATATATATAAGGCTTAGAATTAGAAAAGAATTATAAAAACTGTTATTATTTGTAAACTATCATTACTCTTATTTTTAAAAAATTCAAGAGGGCTCAGTGGTAAAGTGCTTGCCTAGCATGTGTGAGGCACTGGGCTTGATTCTCAGCACTGCATATAAATAAATAAATAAATAAATAATGTCCATCAACAACTGATAAAAATACTTTTAAAAAATCCAAGAGAATCTACAATTAGAATTAATGCAGGGAATTCAGCAAGTTGCTAGAGGTAAGATCAACTTATAAAAATAATATTCTTATATACCAATAAAAAAATTTAGAAAATGTTATTTAAAAAATAAACCAGTTACAATAACAACAAATGCTACAGGGCAACGGGAAAAAAAACACTCAACAAAATATGTATAAGTCTCTGCCAGATAAGAGGACAAAATTTTATTTAAAATTTTTTTAAAACTAACTAAATAAAGGGCTGGGGTTGTGGCTCAGCAGTAGAGCACTTGCCTAGCACATGAGAGGCCCTGGGTTTGATCCTCAGCACTACATAAAAATAAATAAATAAAATAAAGGTATTGCGTCCAACTATAACTAAAAAAATAAATATTTTTTTTAAAAAACTAACTAAATAGAGACCTATATTATGTTCACTAGAAATACCTGGAGGATAACCAGATCTGTTCTTTTTAAATTACTCTATTAAAAACTGATACAATTTCAGTAATAATGCTACAGCACATTTTTATGGAACCTGACAAGCTCATTCTAAACTTTACACAGAAGAATAAAGAACTATAAATAGCCAAGAGAGTTTTGAAGAAAATAATATAATAAATTAATGTGATGCACAGGGATAAACAAACAGATCAATGGAACATTATAGAGAATTCAGACAGTCAAATGCTATACAGAAAGTTGATACTGGACAGTGACAATACAAATTGAGGGGAGAAAGACTATTCAACAAAAGAAATGGGGATAATAATAACAATATAAAGGAATTTCTATACACAAGGTAAATTAGATCCCTACTATACTATAAAATAAAATTGATGAAAAAATATAAAATAAAATTGATGGGAAAAAACCATATATGAAAAGCAAAACTATAGAACTTCTCAATAGAACTATAATACTACAGTTTCTTTGACTTTCTTTCTTGATACAATTTGTAGGCTCTAAATAATCCTTTTTGTTTTCCTTGAGGGTACTCTGTACTCAGAACTAAATTCTCCTTGTAATCTGGAAGAAGCAGGGATAGAGCAGAAGCTTCATTTTCCAATTCTGGTTATCAGACTGCAGGTGCCTAGAGATTCCTAAGTTCATACTAGCCTTATTTGTTCACTCCAAAAAAGGACTGATGAACACCGCACTAGCTATCTGTTAAACAGCTAAGTCACTTTCCTACCAGCTGTACTTCAACTAAGCCTCTCATATCCTGGGCTATTTAAATTAAGTTAAGCCTCCTGTCCTTGTCTGCAGTGACCTTTTCCATATTTCCTTATGCTATGTATTCATTATCCTTCCCACACTGTTTTTCACGAAATCAATAAGCATGCCTTCTACAGAAGCCTTGATCTGAAGAAGTGATTAAAAATGTTGATCAAGGAGCTCTAACAGAGAACACTAGAGGCATAAGAGAAAGCTTCCTCCATTGATTCATTAGTACCAATCCACTTAATTACATTAGCAATTAGTCCGAATTTTCCTCTATCCTTCAAAAATACTATGAAATGTGGTCAACTTTCTGCTGAGTTTGGGCTTAGCTTTACTTAGTGCATTTCCATGATCTGTCAATCTACTAAACCTTTCAAAGAAGATAAATCTGGCATAACTTGGTTTTAGTGAATCCATGATAGCATCAAGGAACTTGTGTTTCTTCTCTTAGAAGCTCACAAACCAGTAATTAATGATTCTATAAGTATACTTAAGAAAACTTGGAACAAATCACAGAAGAGACCACATTATGGGGACTCTACACATTTATCACCTAATTATTATACTCTCCATGGAAGACATAATTATGAAAAATATGTTTCTCTACAATATGCAGGCCAGAAAATGTCTTTAAAATCTATCATTCACAGAAAACAATTGATAGCTCTAAAAAATGAAATACTTTGAGGTAAGGGGAAAGTTTGAGGAGAGCAATAAATATAAATTCATAAAAAGTACTTTGATGGAGGCTGGGGTGTGGCTCAGTGGTAGCGCACTGGTCTGGCATGCGTGAGGCCCTGGGTTCCATCCTCAGCACCACACAAAAATAAATAAATAAAGGTATTGTGTCCATCTACAACTAAAAAAAAGTATTTTAAAAAAGTACTTTGATGGTTTAAATAAGAAAAGGAGGACTGGGATACACAAGCAAATTCTGTGCTTCTTCATAAAAAGATGTAAACAATGTTTTAAAAAATATAAATGAGTTCTAAAATTCAGCTCCCAAAATAACATGGGAAACTGCCTGACCATAAAGGATGTACCACACAGTACACCCCAAAAACTGAACTGTAGAGTAGAAAATATTCTGCCACCCTCAGAGAGCTAGCCTAGAAACATTTCCTCAATTGATCTTCCTGTTGAATTGACACCAGAGTACCTATGAGATTTACTTCCATTTAGTATTCTCAGTGCTCTAGAAACACGAATTGTTCACTCTGGGACTAGAAATCAGCTTTTTATAAAGATACTGTATAACACAGATGTGAGCGTAAAGCCAAAATATTTTCACTGACCACAGAGAACCTTGAGCTAGAATAAATATTTTGTGACATACAAATGCCTTTCTAAGAGTTCTGTTAATAAGCAAGATATGAGAATTTAGCCTCAAAAGCCAATTTAGAAGCAAAGAAACATTTCCCCCCAATAAAAAAACCTACACTAGTGAAATGAGAATGCATTACTGGATAGTAGACAATACTATCTTGATTGTAGAGCACTTTTGTTTTCATCTGACAATGGGCAGAACCTTTATTTCCTACCTCTATTCTTGGAACTGTATTAGAAGGTAGATAAGATGTACTATAGGCTGAAGGCAAAGCCTTTCTCAAACAATCCAGAAATCACACCACACATAGCATTCTTCATAGCAGTCTCTTCTCATAGGCCAGAGGGAAAAGGCAGTAGGATTTCTGTGGACCCAAGCTGCATTGGGAATGTTGAGCAGTCACAAGGAGTCCTCAGCAAAGGCACAGCTATCTCAGATGTTCAGGCCTAGAGAACAGCCTGGCTCAGCAGATCTTTAGGACCAGGTGTCTCGAGGCCTTCTTTGGGGTCAGGGACCACAATTTGAGCTAGTCATGGAGCCAGGCCAGGGGGTGCTCCTGGGGGATGATAGCCATACTCACTAAGGTCCAGGGTGTCCCAGCTGAGCAGTACCCTTACTGCAGGCACATTGGGATATACTGTAAGGGGGTCTAGGCCCATGTCAGGTGAAGTTGGGATCCAGCTGTCCTCAGAATGCAGGAAACACAGTTTGGTGAACTGGCACAGGCCTGGAACCCTCTGTTTGACAATCTCAGTACAGCTGACAGCCTTCCCTATAGCCCAGCCAGAACCTGAGAACACTACATGCCATGCACTGCCCCCCTCCAATCGACCCAGTGCCAGTCCCAGCAGGTTTCGGATTTTGCTGCCATCTTGGACCCATATCTCCAGGGTGTCAGGAGATAGCTGGGGCATTAGAGAAGGTACTGGGAGTTCTACAGAGTAAGCTTTCCAGTAGTGCTCCACCCAGCTTGCTGTGGCATCTGTAAATCTCACTGCCCTTCGATCTCACCTCTGCAGCCCCAGGGGGACTCACAGTGGATCCTTGCAGCACAGCCAAGATGGCATGTCTAAAGAACTTTTTTTTTTTTGTCCAACAATGCTGGGGATCAAACTTGGAGCCTTTTGCATGCTGGACAAGTGCTCTACCACTGAGTTAAACCCCAAGCCCAAACACATTTAACTTGATTATAAATGAGAAATGGAAATACACAGCATCTAAAAGCTAAAAATTGTACCCAGCATGACCATGAAAGCCCCCAAGAGCTCTCTCAGTGTCAAATACACTAAGCATTCAATAATTTTTTAATCTTTTGTCCTCTGCAGCCACTTCCTACTTCCTTTCCACCAGGAACTAAGCAAAAAGACTGAATCATAGATGTTACAATTATCATTCAATACTTTTTTTGCGGGGGACCAGTATTGGGAATTGAACCCAAAAGTGCTCTACCACTAAGCTGTAGGATTATCCTCAGCCCTTTTTAGTTTTTGAGATAGGGTCTCACTAAGTTGCCTCAGCTGCCTAAAATTATAGGTGTATGTCACTGAGCCCATTCAATATCATTTTCTAAGAGTCATGGGTAGAATCTGAGAGTTACCTGGGCCCAGAGGAGGACTTTGTGGTTCAAGGACCCCAAAGGATCCTAGACTACAACTCCTCTTTTCAAGGGTACCAGGAGCTAAATGTTTCCCATGAACTAACTTAAAAACCTCACCCACCACTTAAAGCATTAGATCCATTTATCATAATCAACCAACATTTGTATACCTACATAACTCATAAACATGCCATTATTATTCTTAAGACTTTCCATTTATTTCTTCCAAATAAAATCCTTCTAGAAGCAATCCACAGAACATCCAAACCTTCTAAACTGGGAGAAGATTGAGGAAGCCCATGATGCTCCCTTTCAGTGGCAGGCTTAAGGAAAGCTGGTGGTTGAAACCTGGCCAGAGACCCACTATCACAGAGTTATTATTGAATTGTCCTGATAAAGTATTCTGGAGAGAGAAAATTCTTATTCTCCTCAGTTTGCTAAGATTTAAAATAAAAATTTCTGGGGGAGAGTCCCAGGGGGATCATATATAAATTGCAGTAGTCTTTTTCTCTGTTTTTGCTCTTTCACTACTGATTTCTGCTTGACAAACCTATCTATAAAGGCCTCCTGCAAGCATTTGTCCTGAGGTCCTAATGCTCCAGGCCATCAGGTAGCTGGCAGATAGCAAAGCAGCACAGAACTGAGTGCACCAGCTACCCACTCTAGGCCAAAACAAGAATGGGAAATAATCATCTGTTATAAAACCATCAACTTAGTGTGCCCATTACCTACGTAAAATCCAACTTCTCTTTAAAAATCACTGTTTCAAGTAATGTTTTATTTTTCACTATTACAGAACAGTGTTTCATAAATGTGCTCACACCAATAAAACTGTCAGGGATTAATTTCTGGCGTCAATAAAGGAGTTTAGGGGGAAAAGAGTTTCAGTTCTTAGAATAAGGGTTGACAAGAAATAGTAAATGGAAACTTAAGTGAAACATATATTTCAAAACAGAAAATATGAGAGGAAATCCATTTCAGTGCAAAACTCCAACTCTACGGAACTCAACAGTAAAAGGTCGCTATTCAGAGTCTGGAATATGTTAGCATATACTCACAGTTACAATTCTGATTGCCCACTAGCAGTCCAATTACGTTTAATAAGCAGCAGGGACACATGGTTACCAAGGATAATTCTGCCAAACTGAATGAGAAAGTTCAAGATTTAAAACATGCAATTTAGTGAGCATATTTAGCCACTGATAAAATATAATGGGCCCCTTGTCTTTCATTTTAATCATCTTTATTAGAAGAAAAACACACCAAACTAAAGGAGTTTTCCATATGGAAGCAGCAACTTAAAATTGGAAGCTCTATGACTATGCAGAAAGTTAATACATTATGGCTTTGCATGGTGAGAATAGAATCAAAATTTCACTTTGAAGTAAACTTAAGTTGAAAGCATTATGTCTTTCAACAGGAATTTTAAAAAACAGGTGTTAAGCCAAGCATGGGGGTGCATGCCTGCAACCCCAGTGACTCAGGAGGCTGAGGGAGAAGGACCACAAGTTCAAAGCTAGCCTCAGCAGCTTTACCAAGTCCCTAAGCAACTTAGCAAGATCGTGTCTCAAAATAAAAAGGACTCGGGGTGTTGCTCAGTGGTTAATCATCTCTGGGTTCAATTCCTGGTACCAAAAAAATAATAATAATAAGTTCAGACCAGTAGCAGGCAAAGAGGCAGGCAGTCATTATTGTTGCACCTCCCCTCAACGTTGCAAACCCCTTCTCTTCTTCAGTGGAAAATGAAGCCAAAGTGACTTCCAATAGAATAGGATTAAGAGCCCAGAAATAAATAAATAAGGCCAAATGATTCCTGAAAGGGGTGCCAAGATCATTCAATGGAGATACAACAGTTTCTTCATCATGAGTCTCTTCATCACGATGCTAGGAAAACTGGATATCAACCTACAAAGGAATGAATATGAACCCTTACCAAATACCATATTAATGAATTGACTCAAAGTGAATCAAAGACATAAATGTAAAAACTAAATGATAAAATTTTTAGAAGAACCTGGCATGGTGGCACACACCTGTAATCCTAGCAGCTCTGAAGGCTTAGACAGGAGGATCGCAAATTCAAAGCCAGCCTCAGCCTAGCAAGATCCTAAGTAATTTAGGGATATCCTATCACTAAATAAATAAATAAAAGAGCTAGAGATATGGCTCAGTGTGGTTAAACTCCCTTGAGTTCAATCCCCAGTATCCCCAAAAAATTGGAAAAAAAAAGTTTTAGAAGAAAATATAAGCAAAAACTTCAGGACACAGAATTTAGCAATAATGTCTTGGACATGACACCAAAGGCTTAGGCAACAGAACAAAAAAATTGGCAATTTGTACTTCATGAATTCTTTTTTTTTTTTTTTAGTTGTAGATGAACACAATGTCTCCATATTTTATTTATTTATTTTTATCTGGTGCTAAGAATCAAACCCAGTGCCTCACATGTGCTAGGCAAGCACTTTGCCACTAAGCTTACAACCCCAGCCCGCTATATAACATTTTAAAACTTGTACATCAAAAGATGATAGCAACAGAGCAAAAGAGCAACCCTAAGGGTGGGAGGAGACATTTGTAAATCAAATTTCTAAGAAGGATTAATATTCAGGATATACAGAGAACTAAAACTCATCAAAAAAGCAAACAACAAAAAAGACTTGAATCAAAATTTCTCTAAAGATAAACAAATTGTCAATAAGCACATGAAAAAACGTTCAACATCACTAATCATTAAGGAAATGCAAATAAAAAATACAATGAGACATTATTTCACACCCATTAAAATGGCTACTACCAAGAAAAGAGAAAATAATTGTTGGTGAGGATGTGGGGAAACTGGAGCCCTTGTACACTGTTGGTGGGAATGTCAATGATACACAGATGGTACAGCCACTATGGAAAACAATTTGGCAGTTCTTCAAAAACTTAAAAATAAAATGCTATATGATGCCCCCAAGGATCTCAAAGAAATATTTGCACATTCACGTTCATAGCACCATTTATTCACAGTAATTAAAACAAGGAAGCAACCCAATTTCTTTTAAGGGACGAATGAATAGGCAAAATGAGGTATACACTACAATGGGAGATTGTTCAGCTGTGAAAAGGAAGAAAATTCTGACATATGCTATAACATAGATGAACCTTGCTCAGTGTCTTCTATATCTGGTCAGTCACAAAAAGGTAAATATTGCATGATCCCACTTACCATTCAGAGTTGTCAAAATCAGAAACAAGAGAGTAGAATGGTGGTTACCAGGGGCCAGAAAAACAGGGAAATGAGGAGTTATTGTTCAGTGAGCATATGGTTTCAGTTTTATAAAATGAAAAGATATGGAGATGAATGGTGTTAATGGTTACACAGCATTGAATGTATTTAACATGACAATTGTAAACTTAAAATGGTGAAGAGCATAAATTCTGTAATATGTACTTTTAAAAAATATTATTAAAAACTGGAAAGTGTAAAAAATACAATAAAATAATGGCGATTGGGGAAAACAAATTGCTAGTTTTCCCCAATCACCATGTTAATTTCCTTATCTACTTACATGTTTGGTTACTTGGAAAAACCAAAGCTTTTTCTTTGGGATTTATATGTCTTTAATACTACTCAATGATATAAAACCATTATTTAGACTTATAGTCAGTATACACTTATAAGATGCTTCTAGTAAAAACTGCTTGATATATATTGCTAATTAAGTTTTAGTAAACTGGTTTTGCTGCAAAATAGGCAGCAAAAACACACACACACACACACACACACACATACACTTTATGGATAAAGCCTTTATTGAAACCACTTTATAATGTCTTCTATATCTGGTCAGTCACAAAGGACCTCATACTATAAGATTTTATTTATCTGAAATATCCAGAATTGACAAATCTATACACATAAAATTAGATTGGGAGGTGGTAATGAAAGAAAAGAATTAGGTAATAACGGCTAAAGGATACAAGGTCTCATTTTGATATAATGAAAATGTTCTAACTTGATTGTGGTGATGGATGCACAAATCTGTGACTATACAACAGCCATTCCAATCAAATTGTACCCTTTAATGGGTGAATTGTATGGTCTATGAATTATTTTTCAAAACAGTTAATTCAGAAAGGAAAATTGGTACTTATACAAGTACTTCACTAAAAAAAAATTAATACCAAAAATAAGATAACATCATACATCCACCAAAATGGCTATACTTGAAAAGCTAGATAATAACATGTTGGTGAGGGTGTAGTATAGCATATATATACACTGTTGATAAGAATAACTTGTACAGCTGCTTTGGAAAGCAATTTAGAAGTATCTATTAAAGTTGAATATAAGTATACTGTTGACCTAACAACTTCATTCAGATAGATAGATAGATAGATAAATACACACATCATATATGGACACTAAAACACATGTGTAAGAACATCTATATTAGCATCATTTGTAGTAACAGTAAACGGAAAGCACCCCTCAAAAGTCCATTAAAAACAACAATGCAGCCAGATACGGTGGCTCCCATCTGTAATCCCAGTGACTTGGGAGGCTGAGGCAGGAGGATCACACATCCAAGACCAGCCTCAGCAACTTAGCAACGTCCTAAGGAATTTAGTGAGACTCTGTCTCAAAATAAAAAATAAAAAAGGCTGGGGATGTGGCTAAGTGGTTAAGCACCCCTGAGTTCAATCCTCAGTACCAAAAAAAGAGAAAAACAATGCAGTTAGAATTATGGTATATTTGCTGGGGTTGTGGCTCAATGGTAGAGAGCTTGCCTAGCACATTTGAGGCACTGGTTTTGATTTTCAGCACTGTATAAAAATGAATAAAAAATAAATAAAGGTATTGTGTCCATCTACAACTACAAATATTTTTATAAAAAAGAATTATGGTATGTTTGCACAATGGAATACCACACAGTAATTAAAATGAACTATGTACAACAATATAGATAAGTTGGACCAATATTACATTGAGAAAAAAAGACACACAAGAATATATACTAAAATAATGCAAAATAGGTAAAAGTATTCTGTGGACATCAATAATTGAGATAGTGATTTCCTTTGGTAGAAGAAAAACAGTAGTGCAATGGGAGAGGGCCACCATGAGGGAAGTTTAAGGGGTGCTGGTAATATTTTTTTTTGACCTGGGTATTGATACATGAGAGTGTCTATTTCATGAAAACCCACCTATTTTTATATTTATTATTGGGGATTTTCATTATATGTATTACACTTGACTTTAAAAGTTTACATTCAAAATATGAGGGGAAAAGAAAGAAATGGTGCACAGTAGCACAGTCTTTGACTATGCCAAGACAGTTTGATTTGTCATTTACCCAAACTACTAATTACCAGTTACACTAAACATATATTACCATTTCAATAAGTGCCAGTGTATTATGAATCCTGTCATTTTGGTCCAACATATATTTGTGATATTTTATTTAGTATATATTAAATATTTATACCACTCTTAGTTGTTCTCCTGCTAGTTAATAATCTGCACATGACCCAAGCATGCAAAAAGTCAGACCCTTCATTGTAAAATTAATAATCACAGCACTTGGTTTAAAAGAAAAATGGTAAGTAAACTAACATTAAAGAATTTATAATTGTCAGAGCTGCCTATTTTAAGAACATTAGATTATCACAAACCTGAAGCTCATGTTCTTTCCTTTGTTAGAAAAAAAAACCTTTCTTCAATAGGCTTATGTGGTAACAAAAGACTCCCAACAAAATAAATGAATAGATCTGATGCCAACCTACTATGAGGATCAGACGATGCCAGTGTGGTTCCTGAGTAAAAAAATGGTGGGTATGTAGAACTATAAAAACATTGTTTTTATTTTTTAATGTTTCTGTGTTGCATTTAAGAATCAAATCTATAATTAAAGCATTTATTTGCAATTTTTTATTCTTTTTGTCCTTAACAAAATGTTTTATTTGTAGGTTAAGACCCAGTTCTAGGGGCTGGGGTTATTGCTCAGCGGTAGAGTGCTCGCCTCACATGTGCAAGGACCTGGGTTCAATCCTCAGCATCACATATAAATAAACAGTTATTGTGTTCAACTACAACTACAAAATTAAATATTAAAAAAAGACCCAATTCTAAAAAGAAAAAAGCCAAAGAATCAAATTCTATCATTTACTGTAATAGTTATCTCCTTTGTCAACATTTTCTTTTAATCTAAGCACTAATTATATATTTCTACCTGTATTTTCTTTAATGAATTTGACACTTTAAAATGTTTTGTAGTAAGTTTAGGAAACCCTAACCTAGAATTAGCCACTCAATTTCAAAATATCACAAAACTACATCCATGACCGCCACATTCTATACACACACACACACACACGCACAAATTTAATCTTGCCCAAAACATATCATCACTTGAGTAACCTTTGGCTAGGTACAATAAGGAGTATAATAAAATATACATGGGAGTGTCTAGAATAGGGAAGTTCTCCAAAGGAAAATGAGCTAATGGTCATAATGAAGAGCACAGAGCTACAAAGAAACCACGTAGGCAAAGATCAAAGCTTTAAGGGTATTGCTTTGTCTCAAGAGACATAAGTCAGTCAACTATGCCCAATTGTGAAAATTAAAACATAAAACAGAACATACAGAATTTTTTTTTAAACTGTAGAGGTCATGAAAGAGTGTGCTTTAAAAAGTAAAGTTCAGGGGCTGGGGTTGTGGCTCAGTGGCAGAGCACTTGCCTCGCACATGTGAGGCACTGGGTTTGATTCTCAGCACCACATAAAAATAAATAAACAAAGGCATCATGTCCATCTGTAACTACAAAAAAATGTTTTAAAACGTTCAGGTTTTTGTAATAGCTTTTAGCAGTCTAAATTTCCCTTAAAACATATAAGCCCAAAGTTTGAGGTTTCCATATTTGACTCTTATGAGATTCCAGGAACATAAACACAATCTATGAAAATTGAGGAGACCCAAATAGAGTTGGTGCTGCTTCTGAACATACATCTCATCTCTAACTTACCATTTGGAAGTAGAAAAAGGACTTTGATATACATTTTTACTTATATCACTCTATGTTGTCACTGTGATAAACACTGAGAATACATCTTTTAAAGTGCCCCTTCTAAATACAGAAGAAACCAGTAACAGTACCGTATTGCCTCTGACAGGGCAAGCTCAGAAATTAGAGGTCAGGAATAGGACAGAGATCAATTTTTCATTTTATATAACTTTGCTCTGTTATTAAAAATGAGTTGAGCTTATCAAATAAAGTCACGATGATTATAGCGTCAATGTCATTTATACATATAATATTTACATAGATTATTTTTTATGAGAACTAAAATCCAGACCCCCTCCAAACATGTTTAATTCCTAGATTTCTGGGTAAAAAGTCTTCTTTCTTGGGCTAGATCTGTAGCTCAGTGGCAGAGCACTTGCCTAGCTCTTGTGAAGCCTTGGGTTCAATCCTCAGCATCACATAAAAATAAATAAAACTAATAAAGGCATTGTGCCCATCTACAATTAAAAAAAAATTAATTTTTTAAAAAAGTCTTCTTTGTTCTTCATCTGCCCCTATTCTTAACCTCTAAAAACCATAGTTCATGTCAAAAAACACATAAAGAACCCAAAGTAGCTCTAGTTCACATTTTTTCTCTAGTGGCCAAATGTTGAAGAATCATCAATCAGCATCCATGCAAGAGTTATTCTATATTTATGATCTATTTATGAGTTTCTCTCACAGCAGGAGCTGGGCCTTCAGAATTACTCTTTTTAAAATGACTGCTGATCGTTTAATTATATGACAACCTTAACAGACATCTGAATTATTAGCACCACTGGTAGTATCCTGGTGGCACATGCTTTCTTTTGTTCTTTTTTCTTTTTTCTTTTTTTTTTTTTTTTTGGCACATGCCTTCTTAAAAAACATTTTCCTCTGAAATTATACATAATTTTACACAAATAAATCAACAAAATTATAGATGTTTTGTTCGGAAAATATGGAAAGTTCCCCAATTAAATACTTTTGCCAAGCAGGCAAGGAAAAAAAAAAAAAAGACCCTTGTTGAACAACCTTCTATTGAGTTTTCAAATGACATGTTTTGGGAAAACAAAACAACATTCTGTTACATCAATGTACAATGTAGCCCTAAATCACCAGAGGACAAACTAAGCTAGAATCTTAGAGGCAGGTATTATTATTAAATGGCAGTCAGCTTCTTTTCTACCAATGTTTTTAAGTTAGTTTTTTTAAATCTAAAAAAATAGTGATGTCTTTAAAAATCCTAAGGAAGTAAATCCTATTACTAAGATACTACTTTGTCCAGTGCATTGAAACAGAAATTTCTAAATGTTCTGTGTAAAAAAAAAATAACCATCACTAATTCATTTATAACATAAGTTATAAATCCACAATACTAATAGCTCTACAATAAGCAAATGTACAATCCAATTTCAATTTCAATTATTTTCACTTCTTTTCTTCACTAGACTCCAAATAGGAAAGAAAATGAAAGAGTACAGTTCAGAAGTTGAAAGAAAAAGAAAATTTCGGATCTTCAATCAGATCTGCATGACTTGGGTTATGCTGATTGTGGATTTCTGATTTCAAACCTTTAAAAGAAGAAACCTCAAGGACCCTTCAAATTATGTTCCAGCCATATGCCTGATTAGACAATTGAATCATTTTACTGAACTACATTTTCCCCCTTGATTCAGATCCTCTCATGCTGCCACAAATATATTTGTTCAGTGTAAACGGAGTGATAAAGATTGACCTTTCTAGCTGAGCAGCTAGCTGAACTGGATTTCAAATAGTATGCTTAGGATTTTACTTTACTTGTTTTAAGGAAAAAAGGAAGTAAAATAGAAGTTCATGGATGATAGGTCCACATATCTAATTTTTATTCTAGGAATTTTTGAGCCTATCCCACTCCTGACAAATTCAGTACCTCACACCAGGATAAAGAATAGCCAGCAGTGAAACACTGGACTACTATTGTGAGAAATGAGAGGTTCCAAAACAGACTTAGTAGCAGTTCTGTTTTTAAGAATTGTTCCCATCTAGGGCTGGGGTTGTGGCTCAGTGGTAGAGTGCTCGCCTAGCACATGCGAGGCATTGGGTTCCACCCTCAGTACCACATAAAAATAAATAAACAAAATAAAGGTATTTAATTAATTAATTAATTAATTAATTAAAGGTATTGTGTACAACTACAGTTAAAAAAAAAAAAAAAGAATGTTCCCATCTATTTTCCTGTTCTTGAAAAGAGAGAGGAAAAAGAAACAAACAAACAGAAGGGAGGAGGGGAACTGCCATGTCCTTAAGTCCTGCTAATACTTTGACTCATTCTAAAATGCTTTCTCATTGATGTTTTATCCAATACCATCAAAATAACAAGATTTCCATTTCCTTCTTTCTTTAGTATCTCATAACCTGACAAAGCAGTCTAGGAAACTAATTCTTCTGGCTATTTAAGAACACATATAATTCCAGTATTTCAAAACATTTTTCCTCTCCCTAATCCTTGTCCCTTTCCCCCAATTACTGTACCTCCTGACCCAACCTATCACTCACTAAAATTATGATCATGAGTGATTATGTGTAACTGCCTGAGAAATTACATACTCAAAGCAGCCTGCAAAAAAAAATTTCCATGAATATCTAATGGGAAGAGGAAAGAGCCTATATTTATGAAATTTCTTTAGACCTGCTGCCTGATTTTCATTCAATGATAGCAAGTGAGCAAGTGCTAATTTACATAGCTGATAGGAAGCTGAGTCCAATCATTTATTCACAGCAGGCACAGAGCTAGAAGCTAAGGATGCAGAGATAAAAGATGTAGTCACTGCCTTCATTCAAAGACCTCAAAGTCCCAAAAAAAAGAGAGCTACAATCACAATACCTTGATCAAGTGTCACAACAGCAGTATGCCCAGAGTGACATGGGAGGAGGAGGAAGAAGAAGAAAAAGATGATGATGAAGATGATAATGATGATAATGATGATGATGATGATGATGATTTGGGAAAAGCTTCTCAGGTGAGGTGGCAGGTGGCATTAGAATCAAATCTGAATAGCACCTTAGGAGGATCAGGGACAGAAGCAGAGAGATGGGGCTTTCTGTTCAGAGGAAGCAGCATGTAAGAAAATAGAGATGTTCTGTTTGGGGTGATGTAAATATTCTGGAAATAGAGAGGTGTGGGTATACAATATTGTGAATGTGCTTAAGGTCACTGAATTGTATAATGAAAATGGTAAGCTTTATATTACATAGATATCTTACATATACGTATCCACATTCACACACAAACACAGATGTCTATAAGTAGAAACATAAGATATCTGTGAAGAAGACTGAGTGGCAGGAGAAAGCATTGAGGTGCATCAGGGCTAGACTATAATGAGCTTTTTTTTTTTGTATTCCCTACTGAAAAAGGGTGGAGGCTAACCAAAGACAGAAAAGACTAGAAGGTCCAGGAATGATTAGGAGGGTATTTCTGACTTCTGATGAGAAATGACGGTCTGAATTTTGAGAGGCAATGGAGTAAAAAAGAATGAACAGATTGGGCTGGGACTGTGACTCAGTGGAAGAGCTCTTGACTAGCATGTATGAAGCACTGGGTTCGATCGGCACCACATAAAAATGAACAAATAAAATAAAGGCATTGTGTCTATCTACCACTCAAAAAAAAAAAAATGAACAGATTTCCAAGAAAGCAAGAAAGAAGAAAGATGGGGACTTGGAGCCTCAGCAAGAAGGATGAGGCAAATGACAGGGTGCCACTCACCCAGAGACCAGAAGCAGGATAGACTGGAAGTCAGTGACTTCTGCTTGGACCTGCCTACTTTAAATCCTTGTGGATAAAGGATGAAGACCAGCAGCTTGGAAGAGTTGCTTGATTTCTTAAGTGGGCCTATGGACTTTGTGCTGTCTCAGGGCCCAGGCAACAAAGAGCAGCCCAGATATGAGGAGGATTTTTTTTTTTTTTTTTACACACCTTTGAACAGAATCCAGCACCTATCTATCATTCTGAAAATTAGGGACTTTGACAGACTCTGAATGTAGCTTCTCTGGCAAGAACCTACGGTTTTTCAATAGTAGTGAGTCCCTTGGAGGGCAGTATTAATCAACAAGGATAAGCCAAAGATTAATATACAGATGGCACTTTATGATGGCCACTGCTGACATTTAGGTCTCACAGAAAGAACTGGGGAAATTTTACAGGATGGAACAGAATCTGGAAAGGAGAGGAGGGCAGCATAAGTTGTTATCACTTGGAGAAGATAAATGGAATCTCTTTTATTCTCCCAGACTACAAAAGCCTACAGCTTGCCAGTTAATAAACATTTCAACAAAAGTTATATAATCATGTTATTCATACTGTTTGTAGTCTGCTCCTTTACATTTAACAATATGATGATGGCACTTTCTGTGCCATAACACTCTTCTATAATTTTATGTTCAAAGCTCAACAGTATCTAATTATAGCCAGGTGTGGTAATGCACACCTGAAATCCCAGCCACTTGGGAGAAGGATCTCAACAACTTACGAAGATACTGTCTCAAAAAAAAAAAAAAGAAAATTTAAGGGGTTGGGAATGTAGCTCAGTGGTAGCATGCATAAAGCCCTGAGTTCAATCCCCAGTATTATTTTTAAAAAAATACACACACACGTGTGTGTAATTGTATATCATAATTTATTCAACCAATCACCTATTGTTAGATATTTAGAATTGGAGTTTTTCAAGCTAATTTTAAGCATTAAGCCCATAATCACCAAGTAATTAACATTTTTATGATGACATCTAGGGATATTGAAGTATTTTATTTCAAGTTTCTGTGTATAAATTTGCCTTTGCGGGCTGGAGTTGTAGCTCAATGGAACAGCATTTGCCTAGCACATGTGAGGCACTGGGTTCGATCCTCAACACCACATAAAAATAAATAAAGACATTGTGTCCATACACAACTAAAAAAAATTTTTTTTAATTTGCCTTTAAATTTTTGTCTTAAACAAACAAACAAACAGGGCCTGGGGTTGTGGTCAGTGGTAGAGCCCTTGCCTAGCATGTATGAAGCAACTGGGTTTGATTCTCAGCACTACATATAAATAAATGAATAAAATGAAGGTACATCAACAACTAACGAAAATATTTAAAATAAATAAAAAAAAAAAAACTTTTTAACTCTACAGATTCAGCTAAAGAATCAGAGCAACTTAGTGACATACACCTTTAATCCCAGCTATTCAAGAAGCCAAGGCAAAAGGATTGCAATTTCAAAGCCAGCCTCAGCAACTTAGTGAGACCCAGACTCAAAATAAAAAATAAAATCTGCTGGGGATTTAGCTCGGTGGTAGAGTAGCACTGGGTTCAATCCCCAGTACTGGCAGCAGCAGGTGGGGGGGATCATAGCAACTTACTAGCCCCAATTTATTTTTTTAATTTTTTTTTTTGGTTCTTTTTAGTTATATGTATTTTGACATATCACACATACATGGATTATAACTTCCCATTCGTGTGGTTGTGTATTCATATATAAACATAGGGAAGTTATGTCAGATTTCATCTACTGTCTTTCCATTCCCATCCCATTCCCTTCACCCGATTTAATCCAGTGAAGATCCAATCCCTGCCCACCCCCCCCACCCCCAGCCTATTGTGAGTCATCATCTGCATATCAGAGAGAACATTCAGCCTTTGGTTTTTTTGGGATTGACTAGTCCCAATTTTATAAGAAGAAAGTAAATCATTCACTTGTTGGGGGTATATTAATTTAATCAAGCCAAGCATACCAAATATATGATAGAAGAGGCAGGTAATTCACTCAATGGCACTCTGGTGAACAAAAGATTAAATGCATCTCCAATAAGTAAACCGTGTACTTTCTGTCAGCAGAATCAAGTATATTTTAGATCCCATGGATGCTTATTGGTCTCTCCTTGAGTTAGCAATAACTATAGTCAGAGAAGACTCTACCTGTGCTCATGCTTTCCCTTCTACCCATAAAATCCCTCAACTCTCCCAATTTTGTGCATAACCAGCTTCTTATCATTCAAGAAGGTTCAACTATAACTTCTCCAGAAAGCCTTCCCTGACCACGATCATCCTGAGCCAATATGTCCTGCTCATATCTCTTGAGTATCCTGCAGTTTATTAAAATGGTAATTTGATATTCACTCACCAATTAATAAGCCTCTTTAAGTCAGCCTTACGTTTTACTGCAAAACCCTCAAGGGCTAGTGCATTGCTCTATTAAAGGATTGCTGAAAAGGAATGCCTGTGATTCAAAAAGTGCCGCAAAATTTCATCTACTTAACAATACTCTTCTCTGCTAGTAATATTTTTCCAATGAGAACAACAGAACAGCATGTATAACTATAAAGGTTATATATATATACTTTTCTAATAAAATAAAGTACAACAATAACTTAACATCTGATGTGTAATCGTTGATGTGATGCATGGTAATTAAACAAATAACTGATATAAATTACTACAAATAACTGTACAAATTAATACCATTGGTAATTCCAAGGAATGAAGTGGGATGACATATGACAACCAACTTCTTCCATCAGAGATGGGACTGTTTCAAGATGTTTCAAGATCCAAATAGCCCTTTACTCTATAGTATTTTCCCCTCCTCCCACAAACTCTTCACCAAAGTTATTTTCACAGGAAATAGGGCTCAGATGACAGATTCCTTTCTCTACTTCTGTATTGAACTGTCTGTCACATTTGTGAGCCTTATATTCTGCCATACTTTCCTGGGATTTTTAAGTATATACACTCTTTAAGAATTAGAAGAACCTCCAACTTCTCTCTTTTGTTTCCCTTCTCCTAATGCCTATAAAAATAAAAAGTAGTTACAAAAGGCCAAGTGGTACGAATTAAGAAAAGCTTGTCTTGCCTCCAAATCTCTCCCCTGGATTACCAGGCATTCCACCATTTACACATTCATCTGAATTAACAAATAAGCACTCCTTCTTCTCCTGCCACTGAAAAGCAAACACACTATGTAACATAGGTCTAGTGGTGGTATGAAACAAGCTCATGTTCAGTCATACTGAGGGGATAAAGGGGAGGAATGAGGGTGGAGTTCTGCTGAACTAGAAACTACTATAATGGGGTAGCAAGAAAGCTCTGGCTATGAGATCACAGGGGAGCCAACAGAGCAGGAAGCAAACGGTAAAGCCCAAAGACTGACTTTGAATCTCAACCTAAAACCACCCAGGCATCATCCCCTCCTTGCCTTTCCCTCTGAAAGCCAACCTCTGCCCCTATTAGCAACCATGTAAAGAAATCATGTAAGTCCGTTGGTCTCAACTGTTGCATACTCATTTACTTCTCAAACAATACCTTGAACTATATGCAGGTGTCTCATCTCGAAAATGGGGAGAAGTAGATGACTACCCAGGAGCACAATAACACTATTTCATTAGTCTAAGAGATGCACTTCAAATATAAGTCTAAAGTTTCTTCCTCCACGTCATGATTGAGGTATTTCAAATTAAAATTAAATGCTGGAACACAAATGTTCACAGGAATTATTCATAGAATAGCCCAAAATGAAAACAATCCAACGCCCATAAGAAAATGATGAGTGCATAAACAAATGTGGTATATCCATACAATGGAATATCATTTAACAATAAAAAGAAATGGAGTACATCAATGTGAATGCAGTTAATGTCACAATTGTACACGTAAAAAATGTTAAAAAAAACTTTGTCCTATTTTGCCACATTAAAAGAAAAAAAAGAATGAAGTACTGATCAATGGTGCAACATGGGTGAATGCCATGCTAGTGAAAGAAGCCATAAATACAAGACCATATACTGCACTATTTCATTTATATGAAATATACACAACAGGCAAATTCATAGAAAGAGAAAGTAATCGGTGGTTGCTAGGAGCTGGAGGTAGAAGAGAACAGGGAATGACTGCTAATGGGTAGAGGGTTTCTTTTTGAGGTGGCAAAATATTCTAAAAATACAGCGATAATGGTTGTACAACAATGAATGTTCTAAAAAAACCACTCAATTATATACTTTAAAAGGGTAAATTATATGGTAAGTAAATTACAACTCAGAGCTGGAAATATAGCTCAATGGTAGAGTACTTGCCTAGCATGCTTGAGGCCCTGGGTTCAATCCCCACTACAGGGTAAATAAACAATACACACACACACACACACACATACACACAGACTTCTCATTAAAGCTTTTATTTTTAAAAAGGTAAAAGCAAGTAAACAACGTGCCATTGATACCTGAAATATTTAATAAATCCTTCAAAATGTCAGGATCAAGAAAGGACCTCAGGGTGCTGGGGATGTGGCTCAAGCGGTAGCGCGCTCGCCTGGCATGCGTGCGGCCCGGGTTCGATCCTCAGCACCACATACAAACAAAGATGTTGTGTCCGCCAAATACTAAAAAATAAATATTAAAATTCTCTCTCTCTCTACCTCTATCTCTCTCACTCTCTCTTTAAAAAAAAAAAAACTAAATAAAAAGAAAGGACCTCAGCAAAGATGCAATTAACCTATTTGCATATGAAAAAACATCAAGAAGGTACAAACCACAAATCTGACTACCATCATGAAGCTAATAAATACATCACTTAGAAAAGAAACAAGATTACAGGAATTTTTTGTAATGATTATGTGCAGAAGCAAAACTCCCTTTGGTTTAAAAGAAGCAGAGAAATGTGTGATAGTTAAGAGTTCAGATGTGAAAAAAAGACTGACCTAGGATCTAAACAGTGTCCCTACTGCTAGCTCTGTGATTTTGAGAAAGTGACTTAACCTGATTGAGATTTAATTTCTTCGTCCAACACATAGGAGGTTATTTTCACTCACATAGCCAAATTAATATTTTGCTTTCAACTTTTTCAGCTTTTGTGATTAGAAATTTCTCCACAATTATCAAATAAATATTTTTAATATTTTAACTTCTATATTTTTCTAGTATCTTTTCATACTTTTCATTCATTTTCACATTTTATACTTCTCTTTTCTATTTAATTTTTTAACTGCTACACAGAAAATAAAAAAAAATTTATGGGGTACATGTGATGTTTTTTTTTTTTTTTTTTAAAGAGTGAGAGAGAGTGAGAAAGAGGGAGAGAGAGAGAGAGAATTTTAATATTTATTTTTTAGTATTTGGCCGACACAACATCTTTGTCTGTATGTGGTGCTGAGGATCGAACCCGGGCCGCACGCATGCCAGGCGAGCGCGCTACCGCTTGAGCCACATCCCCAGCCCCTACACGTGATGTTTTGATACATGCATACATCGTACAATGTTTAAATCAGGTTAAATGTATCTATCTCCTCAAACATACATCATTTCTTTATAGTAAAATTTTCAAAATCCTTTCTCCTAGCTTTTTGAAATGTATAGTGCACTATCGTTATCTGTAATCACTCTCCTGTGCAATAGTGCACCAGAACTGATTGCTCCTAACTATAACTCGGAATCCATTGATCAACTTTTCCCCATTCCCTTTATCTGCCTTTCCATTTACATTACTTTGCTTAATACTCTTCTTTTTTTCTGCTAGCTTTCTTTTATTACAGTTTGCCAATTTTGGATTGCTGTTATTTCCTCTAAAGTCATGTTTTTTCCTGCCTCTAGGCTAGAAAGTTAATGTTCTGATTGTCTTAAAATTCCTATGTTCCCACTATCTCCCCATTTTTTTAGAGCTTGTATTACTCTTGATTTTCTCAAGATTGTAAGAAAATGTTAAACATGTCCATAGCACTTCTTGATTACATTCAAAGTGTCCATTTCCTCAGTAGACTGAACTCCTCAAGGGCTGGCAATAGGCCTGTCAGCCTTCTTTGCTATAGTCCTGTACACAACTGCTGCCTAGAACAGAGTGGTTAGCAACTTGGTCAATACCCTGTGAATGATTGAGTGAATCAATAATGATTGTGGTCATGATGCGCTTCTTTGGTTTTAACAGATTCATTATATTGTTTCTTTTGATCACTTCAGATCAAATTTCCCTTCCACTTATATCAATTTGATAACTACACTGGAGTTCTATTAATTATTCATCATCCTCATATGACTACCAAAAGCAGCGCTGCTGAGAATCTGGCTTCAGCATATATGGATATTGTACCATTTGATAGTCAGATTGCTAACTAAGCTTGCATGAAGCAAACCGCCCAAGTATTCATTCGTCAGCAGATCTGAAAGGGAAGGAAGTGAGCAGCTAGAGAATAAC